ACCCCCCACCCCCCTGATTAGGGTTGTCAAACGTTAACTTTGGGCCTAACAGTTGCACTATTGTTGGCTGAAATCCTCAACGTTGTTCAAGTGTTCTCCCCAGCCCAAGCTGTTACTGTTTGTTACTGTTGTTACTGTTGTTCAGTGGTCAGCAAGCAGAAAATGCCAAAAAACCCGGGTAAAACCCGAAAATACCTGGGTTTTACCGGGTATTTTCGGGTATTACCCGCACTGGACGCTGGAGATCGTCGTGGGTCACTGCCAGGCCTTCCTTATTGTTGTTCAGCCGGCCTAACGTTAGCTACTGTTGTTGGGGAGCCCCACTGTTGTTCTGTTGTTACTGTTAACACTAGCAACACTGTTCAGCTCTTAACGCGTTTGACACCCCCCTGATCGTCCATCCCGCCCCCCTCGCCACCCCCCCCCCTTCGTGCAGCTGACGAGGTACTCCCACGCCTCTCGGGGTTTTTTGTCTGGCCGATGCTGGGGCGAGCCTCGGCGAGACTGCGTCAGCTGTTCCCACAGCAGGCTGGAAGTACCTCGCCAGAGCAGGCCCCAAATCCCGAGACGCGCACGATTATTTCAGCACGATTATTTCAGCACTCTCCATCCACTCGCCGCTTGGCCTGTGCCAAGGGTTTCCTCGCACCCTACCTGGTTTCCTTTCCGTGTTTCCTGCTAGTTTCCCTACAGCACCCAACAAAGTTGTTTGGTATTGCTAAAAATCTCTCTCTCAGCACCCTCTAGTTTCCTGGGGAAACTCCACGCACCACGGGGAAACCATCCATTTTCAAAATCGGCAAAATACCGGGTATTTTGCGGGTATAGGAATCCTACCTGACAAACCCCGGGTATACCTGGAAAAATACCGGGTATCGTGCCGATTTCCTCAATTTTAAGTTGTTTGGTTATTGCTAAAAATCTCTCTCTCAATTTTGCCTCAGATTTTGCCCCAGAACACTGAACAGCAAACACAAAATCTCTCTCTCTGAACAGACAAAACAAAAACACCGCGAAGCCGCGCGCTTCATCTCCGCCTCAACGCCTTTCGCCGGCAAGGCCTTTCGATGTCCGTGTCGACGGTACGTACGCCACCGCCCTCTCCTCCGACACCCTCCAGGACGAGCTCCAGCGGAAGCTCGGCCTTTGGCTCTCCGCGGCGCTTCCCACCCTTCGGGTCGCGCTCGAGCGGGGCATGCCAGTCGATTTCTTCGGCGACTACCTTTACAACAAGGCCCACCACCGGCGGCCCCACGACGGCGTCCTCGCCGCCTGGGCGGACGCGATGCGCGCCCCGGCCAACGCGCCGGTCGTGCACGGTGACAAGGAGAAACCAGAGCTCATCCGGCAGTACAACGAGGGGTACAAGGTCGACCTCGCGGAACCCCATGCAGGGCCGGGAGGATGCGATGAAGTGAATGAAGTCAAGCTCTGGACGCCCCTCCTCAAGACCTCCTCGACGGGCGTTGGCAACGCCTCGAGTGGCGGCACGCCCGCCTCCGTTGGCCACTCCTACGCCTTCGGCAACACCGAGGAGAAGGCCCGCCGCCTGAACATGGGCTGCAAGGCGCGCGGGCAGCCCGGCCAACCCTTCTCCCACAAGACCGGCCACGGCTACGTCAAGGCGCATCGCGGTTTCTACCACGACGCGATCTTTGTCAAGCGCAACAACTTCAACCTGCTGCTCCACGAGACGTTCGGCGGCGGCTTCTCGCCCACCGCCGTTCTCAAGCTGCGCCGCCTCGCGCGCAAAGTCGCGCGCGGCAGCGTTGACCGCACGGCCTACTATCCCAAGTACTCGCTCTCTTTTATGTCCCACCCTAGGTCCCACCATGCAGAGCGCATCTCTCTCTCTGTTGTGCGAGGCGTGAACCGCGCCATTCGCTCTCACCTGGCAACCCTGTCTGCACGTCTCGCGCGCGCGTGAACAGGGCTCCACGCCCCAAACGACGTGTGAGTGAGTGTTAGAGTTGTTTGGTATTGAAAATCTCTCTCTGAAGAACTGAACAGCTCTCCGACTCAAACGTGATTTCTTGTTGGTATTGCTAAAAATCTCTCTCTCAGACTCAGGGAAACTCGCGAGTTTCCCGAGCGAGGCCCGAGGCGCGAGGGAAAACTCGAGAGAAACAGAATGGAGCACCAAACACCCTTCTGGTTTCCCTGGAAACTTCCGGAAACGCAAAGTGCTGGGGACCCTCTGGTTTCCCTCTGGGTTGCCGGAAACCCTTGTACAGGCCAACTTGTACAGGCCAACTCGGCGTCGCTTTTACGAAAAGAAACCCCAGCTGACGGTCGGCCGTCAGAAAACACGCCTCCGTGGCTCGGGTTACACCAATCCTCGCTATACCCAACGCGGCCAAAGGATATCCACCTCGAGAACCTCGAGAAACCCCAGCGGCCAGGGCCAAAACAAGCACTGACAGTCTCGAGAAGGGAGGCAGCAACGACAGTCAGAAGCCCGCGCGCTCACACACCAGAGCCGCCCCGCTCGTGAGTAACCGCTCATTACGCCGTCGGAGAAGGGAAACGTGAAGCGGGCGCGGAGACGCGGCCATTCCATGTCTGCTGACTTTGCGATCCTCTCCGAGTCCACGCTGCACGACCGCTACCTTCGGGTCGAGAGTCGGCTTGTGCGCTACCCGGACGGCCGAGAGGTTGCGTTTGACATCGTGGGTCACCCAAAGAACGAGCACCACTTCGTCGTCGTCTTTGTCTACTTTACCGCTCGCCGCTCGGCCGTGCTGCTCCGCGAGTTTGCCCAGGCTGCGCTGCCGCAGCGTGGCTCGCTCGCAAACCTGCCGACGGGGGGCTTCGATCCGCGCAAGCACGCGAGCCGCGCGGAAGCCGCACGCGCCGAGCTGTCCGAGGAGGCGCAGCTTCGCGGCGGCGAGTGGGTCTGCCTCCTTCCGCCCGACCACCCCGGCGTCCTCGAGGCAAAGTGGTGCCGCAACCGCTTCACTCCCTTCCTCTGCATCGACCCGGAGCCCGACCCGGCTCACGGCGCACTCGACGCCGAGGAGCACCTCACGGCGCAGGAGGTGCCGCTGCAGGCGGTCTTGTCGGCGATGCACGGCGGCGACATGCTGCTCCCCGCCGTCCACACTTGCAGCTGCGCCCTCGCCTGGCTCAGGCAGCACCGCAGGGTCGTCGACTCGCCGCTCGCGCCACCAGGCGGCTGCGAAGGCGGCCGTGGGAGAGGCTTCACTGTGCGCCGCCTCTCCCGCGCCTCCGATGCCTCGCTCTACGGCCGCTGCCTCGGCTTGCGCGCGTCCCTCCTCTGGCCGCGCGAATCGCCGCCGCCGTCCGCTGCCGACTACGACACCGCTGACGGCGAGGCGACCTTCTTCGCGGCCGTGCGGTGCACGGGCCAGGGCGGGGAGGAGGAGGCGGAGCTCCTGGGCACCGCGATGCTGCACGACGGCAGGCTGCGGCAGGTGGTCGCAGTGCCCGCCGCGAGGGGGCAGGGCGTCGGCGCCGCGCTCGTCAGCGCGGCGGCGGAAGCCGCTCGCGCCGAGGGGCGCGACGAGCTCTCCGTGGGGGCTTGGGCGACCAGCGAGACCTTCTACTCGCGATGCGGCTTCGAGCCGGACAGCGAGCCGTACGAGTCCAACGGCATGAGCTGCCGCAGGCTGCGGCTGAGACTGGCGCAGGCTGGCGCGTGACGTCGAGGGCCGCAGAGTGCGAATTCTGCGAAAAAGAGTGTAGGTGCGGTACTGTCAGTGCATTCTTGTCGTTCGCGTAGTACGCGAAGCGCTTACTATTTTTGCGTGGGCGACACGCGAACAAACGTCAGGGGCGGCGCGACGACCCCCCCAAGCCCCATCTTTTACAGATGATATGCGCATCCTAGATGCCAAACGCCATCTAGGATGCGTTTTCCATCTAAGGACACCGGGTGTCTCCACTATGATTGGGTTCTCCAAGAAGATTCAATCATCTTTAGATGGTGTGCCCCCCCCGCGTCTTTTGATAGCCCGTGACATCTCAGATACTGCAGTCGTCTTCAGACGCACAAGTGTTCCGAGATTGGCGAGATGATACCCTCATCTTGGGTTAGTCCATGCATCCCAGGATGCAATGTGGCATCTGAGGATGCGCAAACCCGAAATAAAAACCAGTCTTACATATACAACCGCAACCTTCCATATATGCTGTGCGGTCTCCCTCGCCGGCGCCGCCGCGCTTGCAGCCATCGAGTGATGGTAGGATCCTAGCCCCGGATATACTCTCTCTCTCTCTCTCTCTCTCTCTCTCTCTCTCTCTCTCTCTGTGTGTGTGTGGGGGGGGGGGGGCTGTCTCTCTGTCTGTCTCTCTGTGTCTCTGTCTCTCTGTCAGTCAGTCAGTCTGTTAAAAAGAAAGAAAACAAGATTCCAAGGGAGGGATGTGTCAGTCTGTTACGCCAGATCGAGAAGGGAGTCGAATTCTTGTTTCGTGAATTCTTTGTCAGTTAGTGCCAGTGCGCGCCAGTCCCGTGCCCAGCGCCGTGTGGGCGCGTCAAAATTCTTTGATGGCCGACCAGCCCGATTCGTTTGGGCGGTATCGCCGTGTTGCGCTCTGCCGGCGAGCTCTGCCGGCGAGCGATGCTACGCAGGGAAGAAAAGTCATACAGGAGAAATGCACTGCCCCTGGCTGGCACACAGCTACCTGGCTGCCCTAAGCTGTCGCTGCTGCTAGTATTGCTCGCCGTCGGCGCCACTGCGACGCGGCCTCGCTTACGCGTGCAGCAGCACCAGCGGCAGCGTTGTGAGGCGCCACTCTGCCAGTGGAAGCCTGATTTGCCGCCTCCCGACCCCGACACCGTGAGCGCTCGGAGTGCGGAGACGCAGGAGCGCCTCAAAGTGCTGATTGAGGAGCTCAGCGCGCCAGTGTCGGATCAAGGTGCAGCGCCCAAGCCTTCTGCAGGCTACGCGGTCGACTACGCGAACCTGAAGCCAAAGGCTAACGTATTTGGCGCGCGTCTCGATCCAAAAGTGGCGGGCGAGACGCTCATCGGCGTCAACGCGGCGCCTGAGGAGCCGCACGAGGAGATCTTCGCGGCGGGCGTCAAGGCGATGAAGGGCGGCTACTACAAGGATGCCGTGCGTTACTTCACCCAGGCGGTGGCGGCGGCGCCTGGAGGGCTCACGGGCCGCGAGGGCGGGCAGTACTCGGTCTGGCTCGCGCAGGCGCTGCAGGCCGCGGGGCGAACAAAGGAGGCTGTCGGTGCGCCACCCCTCCTGCGCCGCGCCTCCTCGCCCCTCCCTCCTCCCCGCCTCCCTCCTCCCCGCCTCCCTCCTGCCCGCCTCCCTCCTCCCCGGCCTCCCACCTCCCTCTCCGCCGCTCTCACCGCCCGCCGCCGCACGTCTCGGCAGGCCTGCTGCAGACCTGCGAGAGCCACCCGGACAGCGACGTGCGCAAGATCTCAGAGTCGGTGCTGTACGTCCTGCGCGCGCCAGAGCTCAAGCTCGGCGAGGAGAACTTTGTTCGCATCGACTTTGCCTCCGAGGGCCCCCCCTCCGAGTGGGGCCGCTGGAAGCCAAAGCCGAGGGACCCGGACGACGAGCCGCCAGAGATGTACTCGCTCGAGTGGCGCGCGACGAGATCTAGACGAGATCTAGACGAGATGTAGCGAGATGTAGCCGAGGTGTAGCCGAGGTGTAGCCGAGGTGTGGCCGAGATGTCGCCGAGATTTCTCTCGCTCGAGTAGCGCTCGACACGCGCCGACCCGCCGCCGCAGGTACGTAGAGGAGTTCGAGAAGAGGCAGGCGCTCGGCCAGCCTGCAGAGCGCGAGGGTGCGGCCGCGGAGACGGCGCTCGTCCTGCTGGGGGCGGTCGGCGTGCTCGCCGCCCTCTCGCTGGCGTTGTAGAGGGCTGTGCTTTGTCTGCTCGCTCCCGCTGCCGCTTGCAGGTTCGGGGCTGAGCGAGGCCTCGCAGTAGCGGTGGAGAGCCGAGGGGGCGGAGGGCACAGCAACAGGGGCGCGAGAGGCACAGTCACACCGGGGCCGTCGTGTGCGGTGCGTGCGTCTACCCGCCGCCCATATCTGTAAAATCTCTTTCGTGTGCACATTTGCGGCGAAAACCGAAATACACACGGCTTTACGAGACGTATTACACGACTCACACGTCCCAAGGCAGCCGACACGACACCCTCGCTGTGGCCTCAAACTGTTCGAGCACGGTGTGCCTGTGTGCGTGCGGCTCCACTTCTCAGAGGTAGAGGCCCTCGGGCGCGCCGGTGTGCTTCTTGTACAGCACGTAGTCCTTCGCCTTTTTGAACTCAGCCTGCGACACCTTCATCCGCCGCTCGCGCAGCGCGAGCAGGCCCGCCTCGGTGCACATTGCCTTGATGTCGGCGCCGGAGAGCTCGTCTTTGGACATGACGAACTCCTCGAGGTTGACGTCGTCTGAGAGGCTCATTTTGGAGGTGTGGATCTGGAAGATGTGCCGGCGCGTCTTCTGGTCGGGGGCGGGGAACTCGATCTTGCGGTCGATGCGGCCGGGCCGGATCAGCGCCGGGTCGAGCGACTCGATCTTGTTGGTCGCCATGATAACCTTGACGTCGACGTGCGCGTCGAAGCCGTCCAGCTGGTTGAGCAGCTCGAGCATGGTGCGCTGGATCTCGCGCTCTCCGCCCGAGGTCGAGTCGTACCGCTTGGTGCCGACCGCGTCGATCTCGTCGATGAAGACGATGGTCGGCGCGTTCTCCTCCGCGACGCGAAAGAGCTCGCGCACCTGCGGACGGGTCGCGGACGGGTCGCGGACGGGTCGCGGACGGGTCGTGGCCGTGTCCTGCTCTGCTCTGCGCAGGAGGGGGCGGCGGACCAGCTTCGGGCCGTCGCCGAGGTACTTTTGGATGAGCTCCGAGCCGGTGACGCGCAGGAAGGTCGCCGAGGTCTGGTTTGCGACCGCCTTAGCGAGGAGCGTCTTACCGGTGCCGGGCTCTCCATACAGGATCACGCCCTTGGGAGGGCGGATGCCGATGTCCTCGTACAGCTCCGGGTGGGTGAGGGGCAGCTCGACCGCCTCCTTGATCTCCTGGATCTGCGTCTCGAGGCCGCCGATGTCGGCGTACGACTCGACCGGCGCCTTGTCCACCTGGCGGGGGAGGGACGAGGAGGGGTGGGGGGAG